CTAAAGAGTCTATTCACACATATCAAGGAAACTGTCTTGCATCTGTTCCGAAGACCACTGGAAAAGTCAAAGACAGGATAGGTCCCACCCAAGGGGCCATTTACAGTAGTAGAACTAGATTCTGAAAAATAATGGGTTTAAAATCTTCCTCTCTACTTTCTATCCTGTGCCTGGTCCAGGCATCCTTACAAGCAGAAGAGCAAAATATTTCCTGTTCTACATTAAAAGCACTTCCAGTTTATGTTAAATCATAAACTGTTTCAGATCGGTAATTTTAAAAACAAATAATGAGCACAATAACAAACAGAAGCCTTTCAGTCAAGCTAATGCTATTCATTGAAGGAGCAGGTAGTGTTGGAATCATAACCTAAAGCTATTACAACTTAGAAACTTACAGTTTTATGTAACTGGAAGCATCTTGAAGAATGAAAATCACTATGATTATTTCCAAGTCCTGCTCTCAATTTTCTACAAGAATGATCTAATTTCACTGTAGAAAATATTGTAACCAGCAAGCATATAATGAAAAGTTTTATAACAAAAACTAGTAACTTAGTGACTGCTTGAATTATCTATATGCATAAAGCAACATTAGCACTGGCCTACCATTCTAACTTGGCCATCATAGTCTGCAAAGCCTCCATTTTTAGAGTTAAGGTTCCCTTTCAAGCCTACTGCTACGGGCAACCAAACATCAATTCAAATTAAAAAAGAATTCAATGTGTAACTTTTAAAAAACGTTTTATATCTTTTTCTTTATAAAAATAATTACATGAAATTTTAAACTCACATTTTCTATAAACACTTACATAAAATCATTAAAGTGCTCCCCATCGATCAGTTTTTGGCACATGGAGAGAAAACCCCCAGAACAATGGCCAAATCCTACTCTGAAGAGTAATTTTAGCAAACTCTGCACACGGTGTAAGAAATTTGGCATGGCCAGGCATTATTTACTTACAGGTTATAGCTTAGGATACCTCAGGTGTTTTTAAAAAAAAGAAACAAGAAAGCAAATAGCATATGCCATAGCTCATCAGTCAAATTTTCACTGTCATACAAAGTTTGAACTCATCTGATATCCATGAAGATCATAACAATATAATTAATTCTCAGAAACTATCCCTGGAAATAGGTAAAGGTCTTGGCAGAGAGTGCTACAGTACTCTGACATCTCCTTACAACGATGAAACTCTGTGCCAGGGGCATGGCCTTCACGGTGTTTGATTAGTCTGTTTACCTATAAGACAGAAAATAATAAAAGGTTATCTAAAAATGTAAACAGCTACCAAAAAGAAAAAGAAAATATGAACACCTATTACATTATGTCTCAGAAGTTCTGCTGCACCATTTTGGGTGGGCTGCAGTTTGCCAAAAGTGGCCCAAAAAACAGCCTGTTTTAGGTTTTGGCTGAGATAAATTCCAGTGAGGAATACAGTACACCTTCTCCTCTGCACAATCTGTGCTTTGACAGACTTATCTCTCCAGCACCCTCTTTTGCTCTGTCTCTTATCTTGCTCTTGAAGTCAAGGACATCAGCAACAATTATGGCTAGATTGGGGGAGGGAGCCACTCGAGCAACATACTCGACTTTCCTTTCCATACTTTCCTTAGTTACCATGGCTGACATATATGACTTTAAGAGCAAGATAAGAGGAGGTAAGGAAAGAAAAGGTCTGAGAAGGTAAGAGGGCAGAAAGCCAGACTAGTTTGGATATGCTAACTTTAAACCTATGGTGGCAGTGATTATCCAACCAGCAGTTTCCACTCCATGATCTCTTCCCAGTCCCTTCCTTCCCTACCTGCCATCTCCCTCATCATTCTGCTTTCTGAAACTCAAGTATTTTGATTCAAGCACTGACTATTAGAGACTAGTTGAGGGGGAGGGGTGTTCTGCATATCCTTAGTACAGACAATTACTTTAAATTTAGACATAACATAAAATAAACAAAGCACAGTATCCCTGCCCACCTTGACCAGCATGTCAGCCACATGCATGTTTCTGGCATCCTCAGCAAACACAGAAGAAAGAGCTTCTATATACCATGATCCACGTTTGGTATTTCTCATAGCAGCTGTACCTACAAAAAAAAAAAACAAAGCTAATTAAAGGAGAAAGAAATCGAAATATCTTAGCTGCATAACAGGAGAAATAGTGTGATAATATGACAGCACTTGTATTATCCAAACTACCTTTCAGACAGGCATATCCACAGATCATATCAGAGCAGGTGGGGAGGCGTAATTTAAGATTTTCCTTCTTGTTGGCATCGCTCTCTTCACAGCCAGGAGAATTGGCCCGGTCATTCCCATCTATCTGATCCACTCCACGGTCTGTCTCATCTAACAAGAGAAAAAAGATCAACCCTATGCAGCTCTATTGTATATCTTTGTTAAATCACAGGCATACTCATTTAATCCTCAGTCAGCGGTTGCAACTCTTAGATACAGACTTTCATATATGTATTCACCAGTAAACCTGGTGTCGCAATGGTTAGAATGCAGTATTGCAGGAAAACTCTGCCTGCGTTTGATCCTGACGGAACTCGAAGTTGATTCATCCTTCTGAGGTCAGTAAACTGAGGACCCAGATTTGGGGGGGCAATATGCTGACATTGTAAACTGCAGAGTGTGGTAAAGCACTATGGAGCAGTATATAAGTTGAAGTGCTATTGCTGTGTGTGATATGAACTAACTTTTCTTAAAACAGTCCTCTTATTAATTAACCTTATATAGCATTCACAAGCACAGAAATATGATGCAGATAAAAGTATATGCAATACCCATATCAAAAGTAAGGAGGAGACATGACTGGTAAATTGCAGTCCTTTAGTTTACTTAGGATATTTTCTGTCAGAAGCTTTTAGTGGAAGTTAAAGAGATTGGCAAGAAAAGGGAAGCCACCTACTGGAGAGACAGGCTGGCTTTAGGAAGAGGTCAATCCATGACTGATCAGTGCTTGCAACATCTAATCAAGAGGTATTCGACACACATCAGGGTTTGCTATATGAATTTTCTCACGACTTAATTCCATGTTTGACTCTTATGACTTGACTCTGGGAAAAACCAAAAACCTCTCCAGTTAATTAATACTTGTCGTTTCTTAGTCATGCTCTTCACAATAGCAGATCCCTGACAGTCAAATGAACCCTTAAGGCCATTCACCAAGTGCTGTTCTAACTCACAAGAGTATTAAACATACTTGTCCCATTCCTCCTGCATAGCGCTTTTCTGCTCTATCCAGATGATGTAAGAATCCTTTCCGATGGGACTTAGTTGTGTCTTGGTAATCCTAGCTCTATAACTGAAAATAAACTATTAAAACCTTCAAACCAAACATTTTGCAAGGAAGCCTGGTATACAAACAGGAGTATAATTGAACAGGTCTCATATTTTAAACATCTGGGGATAGTCTACGAAATTCAGGCATTCAGAACGCTCATAAGAGCTATATTGTCTGAAACAAACAAGCACCTTGTTGACACTGTGAATTTTTTATTTTTAAGCAAAGAAAGGAAACTAGCTAAACTAGAAAACTAGCTAAAGTTGGTACAATTTATAGAGATCAATAGAAGAGAATATTTGTAATTCAGAACTGAACTGTGAGATCCTTGGTAGTTTGAGCTTAGTGGATTTCTTGCAGACATTTCATTACCAAACTAGGTAACATCATCAGTGCTAGAAGAGAGCAGGATTTGGTTTCATTTTATATACTAGTGACTTGCCCTGTCAATCAATCAATGGGATTGATCCTGGTGGTTCCCTGCTTAGGCTGTTATTTACTGTTAGCTTGTTTGTCGGTGCTGATACCCCAGTCAGTACACCAATCAAGGAACTGCAGACAAATAAGTTTAACAGTAAACACAACTGCCTGATCAATACCCCTCTCACCAACACTGACAAGGCAAGCCACTGGTATATAAAACGAAAGCAAACTCCATTATCTTCTAGCACTGACGATGTTATCTAGTTTGGTAATGGAATGTCTGCCACAAAACAACCAAGTTCAGAGAGCACCAAGGATCTCACATTTGCGATCAGTTGAGCTTATTTCCAAGACTGCACTTGTGGACCTTGTCCAGTTTAAATGCTGGGAGATGAAACTTAATATAAAGCAACTTTAACATCACTCTTCTCTACCACTTGCTCTTCCTAGGCCGGTGGTCCCCACGGCTTGGTGGCCCAGCGGGGGGAGGGGGGAACCAGCCCACAGAAGCAGCAGGATGGTGCACCTGTGCATGTGTCAGCCTGCCACTCGTGCAAGTTGATGCACACATGCATTGGCCAGATCTTACGCAGCCTAGTTCCAAACAGGCCATAGCCTGGTAGTAGGTCACAGTCCGGGTTTCGGCTGGGGACCCTGTCTTAGGCTATGAGTAAGTCAAAACCACTAATAGGAAGAATACAATGGATATTGGGTGCCAATCTGACTTAAATGCATCACTTTTTAAAAAAATGAAAGTAAATGGCAGTTTTCTCATAGAAGGGCTTTTATTTTGGCTCAGTACAATACTTTCCCTTCAACTGAACTCGACGGAAGGTATCTTTTCCAGAACAACTGTGCCCTTGTGATGACGGACAAGTTGAAACTATCAAGCATAACCTTCTCAACTGTTCATTTAATGGTGTTGGCAGTATTGACATTCTTTATTCTCTAAATTGCCAAGCCATACAGATCAATTTTATATTTCTTGATTACTTTCTGAGTATCTCCTCCATAACTTATGTCACATTCTGCACCAGCAGTAAGAAAGATTTAGCAAGAATTGATTAATAGTACTGCTATACCTGTATTTTTACTCCAACTTTTTATATTTAGTTTTGTAATCTGTAATGTTGTAAACTTTTTCAGTATCTTTTTACTATACAATTATCCTAATTTTAATTGAGCATTATTTTCAGCTGTAAAAACATGAAATCTGACTGGAATTCAGTCATTTTATAGTTGTTATGCTATTATTTCTCAAACTTCTAGCTATTGTTTGTTCATCTTATACACACCAGTTATCGTAAAACTATAAGCTATTAATTTTGCAACTAGTTCTGTAATTTTTAAAACTAGACTTAAACATTCTTCTGTATTGTCAGTACCAGCCATCATAGATCAGACTGTAATAACGGGGAATTCTGAAGGCACCATATAAATTCCTAATACTGAATGAATTACATGTAGAGTCTACAGACTACCTTAATATTACCAATAAACTGCTGCCAACCTCCCTCCATACTTATTGTATCCAATTTCCAACAGTTAAAGAAAGGTCACCAGTGTCTCTAATACACTCTACAACCACTCTTTGTGGTTGCTATTTCCAAGACAGCCTTAGGAATTTTCAGCTATGGGAAATCTTCTATACTTTTTTTTTTAAAAGAATATATGAAGGGAAAATTTTCCAATCAAAATGGCGCTGGATAAAGAATGTAAACATGCATAAAGTCTTAGATGCAGGCTTTTTACAAACAAGCTAAGAATACAAGTGGAATTAGAAATAAAAGTTTTCAATATCTATATGCATCATCATAAATGCCACTATCTCCTTTAATACTCATCTAAAACCTGTAATTGCAGTATTAATTTATGGTACATTTTAAAGACACCATAGGAAAATGAAAAGGTAGGCTTCTGGGGGCTCTAAAAATGGAGGCAGGATTAAAAAAAACTTTTTTTTTCTATTTATGGAAAATATATCAAAGCGAGAAAAATGAGGTGGGGGAATAGCTGATTTATAACCACAGCTTTCATCAGGTTTAAAATATTAAGTCTTTCTCACATTCTCTGCTCCAACAAGTGGTTTCTTAACTAAGTAACCTTGTTTTCAAGAGCTTCAGATGGAGAGAAAACAGCTTATACTCTGTACCTTTATATTTCCTTCCTTTTAATTATTCTTTCAGCAAATCCAAATTCAGCTAATTCTGCTCCAAAAATCTTTCCTTTTCTATTCAGTCAAGTGTTAAGTTTTACTAAAAGTATAAGCTCCCCCCCCCCCCCCAAAAAAAAGGTTTTTAGGCTATTAGCTTATTTTCAAAGCTAGTTTTATCATTATTTACTTCCAATTTATCTTGGGGGTGGGGAGCTTTCTTGCTCATTGTTCTTGTTGCATGCTAAGTATTAATAAGGCGACACATACGGCTGGACTCACAGTGTCAAGTGCTTTGAAATTGCTTTATGCACACTATTGTTATTAAATTGTATACTTACCCTACTGCTATTTATATTTAATATAATCAGTTTGAAACCAGTTCATAATAAGGGTGAAATCATAAGATGCCCCTAGAGAAAGCAGAGTTGTTGCTGACCCTTGCTATTCCTAACTGAATTAACCTTCCTTCTTTTCCCTTCCCCTTTAATATGAAATAAATCCAAGCATTCAGTATTTACTGGCAGCAAGACTGTAGAATAGACATAACCACTCCATTCCAGCTGCAAGGTTACTAAATAAACAGCAGGAGCCAGTCCACACCTACTGGGAAGGAAACAGCAGCTAGTGGACAGATGAACACCTCACAGTGGGAGCTGCAATACTGAAGCAGCAGCAGTGTGCTATGGAAGATTGGATCAAAGTAGGACAAACAAGAAGCCCCCATGCATTTAGACAATGTAACAATATGGTAATCAAAATAAGCATCAAATGTCAGGTTTGCATAATGAAGCTCTTGCAAGTCATTCTTTATTTTATAGCTATAGTAACATAACATAAAGCTAAACAGACCAGCTAACACAGCTTTTGAGTCAAACATTTAATTTCTTGGAGATGAATTCATGCGTGAAACTATAATGTACAAGCTATGTCGTAAAAAAATTCTTGATTTTTTCCCCCCTCCTTTGGTACATGAGCAAATAAATTGTTAACCATGCATTAAACTCTTTAGTAATAAATAAAAATCTATGTAGTTAAGTAAAAATCTCCCATTATGAAAGCTGGTGCTATCTTACTAAACATTTGTCTCTGTGATCAATCCTCTGAAGATAAATCAGTAGAAAAATACCAGTACCAAACACATTTGGGGAACGCTTATAATCCCCAGGAAAAGACACATCATATGTCAAGCAAAAGAAAGCATTTTTCTTCTTCCTGAGGTCCCCAAGCAGTTCTCTCTATTCATTGGTATTTTTCCTTTCCTAATTCTAGCAGTTTCGCAGATCCAGTATCTCCACAATGAGTGTCAGAGACAGGGACATAGATCCCAAATGTGTTTCTTCTAAGGTCTTCCATTTCAACCTTAACCCTAACCAAAGAAACTGAGGCTATGTTCACTATGTTCACAAATCATACTATAGCATAAAGTTGTTTGGCAGATTCTAGCTTAGCACAAAATGTTAATCTAATTACTGTGGCTTCTGAGTCATGGTTTATGGATTAGCATACCATGTGAATCTGCTTTCCTGACTTTTGTTACAAGTTCAAGCCATTAAGTGGTTTAGGGTTTGGCTTGGGCTATCTTTCTGTACATTCTATTTCCAACTAAGTTAAAAGATTAACCCTAGATTTATTTACTCATGTTGTCCTAGCCAAATTTCTTGATCCAGTTTATTATTCATTGAAAAACTTAGCACAAATGGATAGCAGACAAAAATATCAACTTTAAATTGAACAGAGCAAATTAATAAATTAAATTCAAATTAGGTCAAAGAAACAAATGTAAGTTCTCTTTGCTTTTACTACACTTGCAAAATTATCTTCAGAATAATCCATAGAGGCATTTTTGAACATATTTTATAAGCCTCCACTTCTTCAATTTTTATAATTATACCAAGTAAATAATTTTGAAATGTTTAAAGTAACCTGTTTAGTCACAGTGCTTGATTTCTCAATGGAAGGACATGATGAGGTCCTTTTTTTTCCTTCTATCCTTGGTCATTTCCTAAATACTTTTAGAGAGATTTCAGAAAATATTCTCCATAATATGCTAATATGAATCCTGCCATCAATGAATTTAAATCTGTATTTGAAAACAAGATAAGTGCATAAAGCTGCTACAAATGACTGCAGTATTCTCTTTAATAACGTATTTTATCCACAAACTACAGTATGCTGTTTGGAATTATCAGAAGACTGAGCTGTTTCATATGGCTTTTAATTCACAGCTTGTTGGTATTAACAGACACCACAGAGAATTTAGTACACACTGTCATTTTATGTACTAGCTTTATTATTTTTAATAGAAATACTGCAACCTCTAGGAGTTGTGTAGTAATGCAGCAGTCCAAAAATATTGTAAAATAATACAATAATAAATAATACCATTTATTTAACCATAAACTGGTGCATAACCCAGGGGATTTGCATCCAGTTCATGGTTGCTCTGTGCAAGGCACATACTGAATTACTGCTTTCCCTGATGAAATATCCCTGGTTTTAGTGGTAAATTCCATTCAGTTATGATCTGTAGCACTTGAATTTCAACAAAAAAGGGAATATAATAATTATGTCACAAATTAGTTCAAATGTTTATACGACAGATAGGTATTATGAAATTGTGTGTGCCTTAAATAAACTTGCTTAAGTTTAATAGGTTAATTTTATTATAACAAAGAAGTGTTATTGTAATACTAAAGTTTTATTTACATACCAAATAAAAGCATATATTACCTTAAATAAGGTGTCTGCAGCCCTGGCACAGTAATAGAATACTAGCTCTATTCTGGTTTTGCACATCAAAGAGAAGCATCGGTATTCTCCTAAGATCTGAATCTTGGCTAAAATAAATAAATTTAAATTTAAGGACCATTTAAGTGCCCTATTAAAAATGTCCAATCAGTTTTTCAACCTTTATTCCCTATAAAACCTTTTTCAAGCCTAAAATGTATTCCCTATAAAAAGCGAACATTTAAGATAAACCTCTGAGGAACTGCATAAACAGATTTTCTAGGCGCTGGTTTCTAATTTACTTCACAGAGTTCATCTGTACTGCAGGTACGCTGTCTGAAGGTTAAAATAATCTTTAATGCAAAGGGGAAAAACTGCGCCCCTCAAGATATTGCTGAACCCAATTCTCTAGAATCTCAGCCTTCATAAATTGTAATGGGAGCTATAATGTTGCTGTAGGTATAAAGGAAAAAAATAAAGCTTTAGATAATAAAGCTTATGTAAGATGGAGTCAATGCTCTCTGCTACTTGGCTTCATGGAGAAATTGAATAAGGCTGCCTAGATGAAGTTAACTTTATCTTGGCAGCCTTGTTCAATTCCTCCATGAAGCCAAGTATACTGCTGACACTACTAACAATTTCTAAATCTGAATCACAGAGAATTTAGACTTCTATATGTATTAAAGCATTTTTCCTTTACCATTTTAACTCTAGCCACAATTAAGAGATAGGGCTCCTAATTTAAAAAAAAAAACATCCAAATCCTTTCACCAGAATCATCTTGCCAATACAGGCCTTCTAGGAAAAGGTGATGGTTCCCTACTTTTGTGAAATGAGGGTGTTGAAGTCCAGAAAATCTATTTCATAGCAATGGCCCTATTTCACAGAACAGCCTTTTTCCAGAAATTAGATGCACCAGTTTTTCTTTCCCTAAGTTGGATAAATTGAAGCCTTTTATAAGAAAAGCATTTAGGGAATAATTTGGAATTATGATGCCTGTTGGCTTATTGGTCCATATTATTCATGTTGATATTATTTTTCACTTTGGATGCTTTTACTTAAAATCTTGGAAATCCTTTAAGATTATGGTGATATGTTTGTGCTTAGCAACTGAAACATTTCCTACAAATTCTAATCAGCTGAAATATCTGCTGAATCATCTGCAGTCCTTACATCAGTTATAATCCTTTGATTATGATATAATCTGGCTAAGATCAGTCTTATATTCTATATCCTTTTTTTTTTCTTACATCCCTATAACTTGTTTTAGATTCAAGGAACTTTGATGAGAAGAGACATGTTTTAGGATGTCTCTGGATCTTAACAGTATTTTAAATTCATCTGCCCCTCCATGCCTCTGAATCAAACAAAAACGCAAAATAACAAACTTTTTCAAGCTATTCATACAAGGTGATCTCAATCTATCAAAGTTCAGCACAAGTAGGAAATACCAGAGGCCAAAGAGAGAAAGAACGAAAGTTCCAGCACACAATCTCACTGGAGTGCGGTTAGTAGGGCTAAGTGACCCCATTATGCATGCAAGAAGCAGAGATTACAAATCTCCTTCTTCTTTTTCCATGTTACTGCAAGGTCTGCAAGTTGCTGACCAAAGCCATGCACAGTGAGAACCACTTACAGAGAAAGGTAGTGGCAACAGCAAGGCAGGGAGGTGAAATGGGTTCCGCTTATACCTGAGAGAAGTAAAGAGGAGAGGTGAGCACAAGCGTGCGAAAAGGGGAATGTCTGTCATGAATCACAGGTCACCCTCCCCAGTCACTTACCCCCCCGGCATGCCTGGATGAAGAACATTTTAGGCTTATTCTGAAGTTTAGGACAATTTGCATTGTCAAAAAGACTGAAAATTTCCTGCAGCTGGAAAAGAAACAAGAAGACAAAGTAACTGAGTAAAAGGAAATTGTTAAATCGATTCTTGTCATTTTACATTTTTTATTTTATTACTTTAATATTTTACTGTATCGTGATTCAAAGACTATAAAGGCTGCCATATTTTTTTTAAATTATTACAATGCAAGCATACTATCTACTCTGTCCAGTTTTCCCCACTCCATTTGTCTCCCCTTCACCAAAATGTCTTCCCATTCTATTTTAAGGCAGAATCTCATAATACATTAGAACTGTTTAACGCTTGATTGTTTCCATGATAGCCAGTCTGCTCCTCAGATTCCCTGCAAGATCACATTCTGAAACAAACAAGGAATCTGCATATGATTGAGTTACCTGAAGTAGCTTCCCATCCACTCCATAGACTCCACCCTCTATGCCATGCGAAAGAAGTGATACTATGCAGGAGTCTACGTTTTGGTGAACTGGATGCTTGGAAAAATTTTCCAACTGTTCTTTCATTTCCTAAGGACAAAAAAGTATCCCTAATCAGCAATCTCTTGAACCATATAGGCAAATGAAGTTGGAAATTAGAGGAAAAACCGCCAAACGGCATGATAACTAGGAGATAAAGGATTCAGGAATGATCAAAATTGAAAATGTATGAGCATCATTTCTAAAAGGGTTCATGATGTTATATCATTTTCAATCCAGACTCCAAGGAAATTTCAATTTTTTAAATTTAAATCTGAAAATCTTTGTTAATGATTCAAATATATATTTATATAGAAATAAAGAAATAAAGTTGTGCTAATGAAACAATCAAGAAATGGAAATTAAAAACAATATTATAGATAATTAAAATTTTAAAATATAAAAAGGAATTCTAAGAGGATACGTTCACTCTAACATAATCTAGATGCCATCTTAAATACAGCCAATTCTGGAAAATAAATTTTGTGGAACTTATGCAAACATTTGTCACAATCATCACATTTTTCAATTTACCTGTGCAGTCTGATCATGTTTTACAAACACCTGATATCCAAGATGCTTGAAGAGCGTATCTAGAGCAGCATTGTCCACATTTCCTCCAGAACGCGACTCCAGATCAGTCTCACTGCTGAAATGCACATTGCTAAGGATAAGAGCCAGGCCTCGTGGGCGTGATTTCAATTTGTATGCCTATTAAACACAGATTATATATATACATATATCAGTTTCTTGGTATATACACTGAAAGTAAAAATCACAAGTTGCTTTTAAAATATACCACTCTCTCTACCAGGGGTCAGAGAGAAGTCAAAATACAACATTAAAACACTAATGTAGAATCCCCCAATGCTTTTATTCAAAAGCTCATGATCTATGAACAACTTTCCAAGTCTTCTAGTGATTATTTTTTCAGCTTGCGAAACTTTTTGAGTTCTGCATAGCCCATTTATTTAACTGCTTTTCCTGCAAAGAAAAAACTCCAGACGTATCTATGAAAAGCAGCAAAAGAAATTATCGATTTCCAGTTTACTTACCAAGTGTGCATGCGTGTGATAAAATTCTGGAGTGCATGGTTTCACCTGGGAATAGTGAGGTCCATCTCCATCATCTAATGAATGCTCCATAGGCACTGCTGCAAACCGAACAAAAATATGTCAAAGGGTCAACAGCAAAGCAAGCCCCTGTGTAACAGCATGCTTTAGAATTACAGCAAGGTGACAATATTTAAGAAAAAAAAACTATACAGTATATGCACTTCTTAATCTAAGCATTTTATCTCTATTGCATATATTAAAAAGTATTCCACAGGTAGTCCTCAACTTTCAACTACTGTTCAAAGTTAAAAAAAAGTATTGAAAAAAGTGACCAGTTTTCACACTTATAACTGTTGCCGCACCCCCACAGTCATGTCAAAAACATCAGACAGTTGGCAACTGGTATGTATTGATTGTTGCATCGTCCTGGGGTCCTGTGATCACTGATTGTAACCTTCCCAGCCAGCTTCTGATAAGCGGCCAATGGGGGAAGCCAGATTCATTTAATGACCAAATGATTCACTTAATAACTATGGCAAAACTGTAAAATGGGGCAAAAACTCATTTAACAACTGACTTGCTTAGCAACATAAATTTGGGGCTCAATTGTGGTCATAAATCAAGGACTACTTGTATTGTAATGCAATGTTTCTTTTTCTCATTGAAATACTGAAATCCAAGTGCTTCAAATGAAACCATCTCACACCCTATCAGAGTTCCAGCAGAAATTAACTTTCAACTGAACTTTTCCTTTAAATAACAGTAGCCGTTTGAACTAGTGGAGCTATTCTGAGTATCAAGAGAGGAAGGTTACCATGATGTACAACTTAAAAATGTGAACCTTCAACAAAATTTGTGCAGAGTAGGTAATATTTGCACAACCTTAGGACAAACTGGTATTTCACCATCACTATCTTTCTCCTCCTTTAGGATGAGACACAAGCAAATTACAGTAGACAGAAGTATCTGGCAATAAGGATGAGGATTTGGGTGAAAGGAGATCTGTAGTTGGATTCAGCATGAGGACCCAGTGTTTTCTTCTTTGTTTTATGATGGTCTGCAGCAGGGATGTCAAAGGCCTGGGGGCTGGATCTGGCCCATAGAGTGCTTAGATTTGACACCCCTGGTCTACAACACTGAACAACTCTAACTCATGTATTTTGAACACATGTATAACTTTTAACGTTCTTTAAATAGCTTCATATTCTTCCATTTTCTGCAGTATATAAATCTGTTTATATCACAACACATTAACAACGAAATATGACTAACAGCAGCCAATTAACTTTTGTGAATATGTCTAGGCTATAGCCATGGGATATGAATAGTAGACTCATCCAATGAATAATCTATACAATTATTAGCTAGTAAAACAGTTTGCAATTTAAAATCTCAGTGGGATACAGCTAAATCCCGAGCATTAAATTTGGATTGTTTTTCATAGTTTTTTCCATTATTCCTTCAAAAAGCTATAATTTTATACAGGGATATTGATTTCTGTATATCCTTCAGTCAGGATTCTAGTCTGGGAGTTCCAAAAATAACTCAACCACAACCTGTATAAAAAGAAAAGGTGTGGGCAATAATGTGAAAAGATGTCAACCTCCAAAGTATTTTCTCTTTTTTAAAAAATAATTCACAAAATAATTCATATTGTATAATTAATTTATAAAAAAAACATTTTTGAAAGAAACACGCTGGAAAATGAATTTTAAAAATTATTCAGATGAAACTAATACCACAAGAAAAGAGTACCACAATGCCTCTCTTAGAAATTGCAGACCAACTTTTTATTCAAATGTAGAAAATTGCATTAGGCTAGATGATGTTTCAGGGATTAAGCCTGAATAATACTTTACTACAGTGATCCCCAACCTTTTTTACGCCGCGGCCCGGTACCGGCATCAGCTGGGCGCCGCCATCTTTTTTTGATGAAAAAGTGCTTCCGGTGAAGTCACTGGAAGCACTTTTTCATCAAAAAAAGATGGCGGCGCCCAGCT